GGCGTCAGCCAAGTAGTCCTACCAGACTGATACAGGCACCTTACTTGTGGACAGAAGAGGCTAGTGGAGAGAGAGCAAACCTCATGCCTCCATGCAGTAAGCCAGCTGCCTATCACTTCTATTATAGTGGGGAAGAGAGTCCAGGAAACAGGAGCGGTTTCCAGGAAGTAAAAAGGCAGGTGGAAATTCCCAGCATGGCTGTGGGCTGGTGGCAGCTCACCTGCTTTCCATGGAAGCCCCAAGTCCTCCCACCATAACTGTCCTCCGATCCCAAGGCTGAGAAAAGCCACAAGTGTGAGATCTGGGAAGAACTGTTCCCAGAGAGAGTTAGGGTGGCCACAGAGCACTGTTCTCGATTTGGAGGAGTCCTCCTGTTTGAAGGGCTGCCCGGTTGAAAGACTGTAAGGAAGAATTGGGTCTTGCACTGTCTGTCCACAGCACCTGCACAACACGTCACCTGGCCACTCCTCCATTCTACGGTGAGATGGACCGTGTTTCTATTGCAATCCTAAGAATGCTTTTCCAAGTGGGATAGAAACATGTGAAAGGACATGTAGGTATTTTATGCAAATAGCTCTCCTCTTGTGTCCGTTCACTTTGCTGAAGCAGATTCTCTTCCTTGGCCGTTCATGAGCGGCCAGCCGAGACAGTGCTGGCCTGGATGGGTTGATGGACTGACACAATAAAATCAGACCAGCTTGTCTATACGCCCACATTGCTTGCCTGCATGCGCCACATTACGATCCCGTGCTGTAAAAGCAAGCAAACCTAGTCTGTGGCTTGGAGCAGGGTAAAATAAAACACCCGCTCTCAGCAGGCTACTAAGAAGCAAACAATGTTCTGACAAACAGGCTAGTGGAGGAAGGATGGTTCTGAGGGTTGAGGTCTGTCCTTCCTTAGCCAGCAGAGAGGGGCTGGGGAGCCCCATCCCCCTGTCAGCAAAACCACCAACCTGCATGGAGCTCTTCACAGCCTTTGGCTACTGGGCCAGTGGTTAAATACAAGGTTGGTTTCATACGGTGCCTGAGGTGAGACTTTCCCACTGGAAGGGAATGAGGAGGGGATGTAACAGCACTGAGCAATGATGTTTTAGGGGCCCCAAGCTACTATCATTCTATTTCCCAGGCTGTCGGTGTTCTCACTCGCTGGTGTCTTTGAGCTTTAGCGCTTCATTTCAGCTCTTGTTTTTTAATGCTTTTACCGTTTATTGTGTGTTTTTACAGATTTTTGAAATGCTCTTTTGCCATTTCCTTGCTTGGTAAGCCACTGCAGAATTCCAAGAATTAGAAAAACGGATGGAATATAATTTGAAGATGTTACTAATAATGCTTTTTTTTAAAGGAAGGATGGGTCGCAAGGATATTGCTCAGCTCCTTCCAGTAGATTGTGCAGAGTGGGCTGCACTGGGAAGGGATTGGGGTGCTCATCACACAAAGGGCTGCAGGACCTAGTCTGGGGCAAGCGATGACTGATTGCATGCAACTATCTGAACTGTGCCAGGAGAGTAATGCGCTATTTCTGAACTGTGTCCGCCTTCCCTTCATCTCCTCTCCACCCTGTTCCAGGAGCGCTTTTATCTGCATTATGGAGAGGCCAAGGGCAAATTAACAAATCAGAAGATGCCCTACAATGGTTATGATTCCACTGGGACTTGAAGATCATCGCCCTAGCAGGAGACACTGGGAAATGTGCTAAATGAAGGCTTCTGCCTGACCTACCATGATTTGCAGCAGGCTACAGCTGAATTCTAATGGTCCACTTTACTCAGAGAAGACACGCGCATGGACTGCTTTGACCTTCAAGCAAAGACATGGACATTAAAAAGCATTCTTTCAAGCAGTCCGCAGGGTGACCATGAAGTCATCACAAGTAGCGGGGTTCTAGCATGGCGTGGGGAGCCCTACAGAAGAGCTGTCCAATCCAGAGCTGGAAAGAAGGAAATGGACAGCTATGCAACCAATTAAAACAAAGCAAGGTGCCTTCAGAAAAATCAAGGGGCCGTGGGGAAGTGGGGAGAAAATGGACGGTGTGTTTTTGATGAGGGCCTCAGAAGCTATGCTGTGTTGCAGTGGTGGAACCACAGAGCACCCCACCTCTAAAGAAACTGGAAATCTGAACTATTTATGTGCTGATTTGTTCTTATGTAACTGCTTAATGCAATAAAATCCTTTAATGTGATTAACATCAATAGAATAAAATCCACTGATCTGTATGTGAAGGCAAGCTGGTGCCTGCTAGATGTTTTGGCCCCTAGCTCCCAAGTTTCTAGATCACTGGCCATGTTGGCTGGAGCTAATGGGAGCTGGAAGAGGGAAATGATAGAGAAGGGTTTATGAAAGCTAGTTGCCCTTTCCTGCCAAAATGTGTGCAGCGCACTGGAGGCTGGAAGGTACCTTAGGAAAGAACTGGCGAATGCACATCAGGTACTACAGATTTCTGCATACGCTTAGGAGTCCATGCTGTGCACCAGCACTTTCTGGAGATCTTTAGAAACGTGTTCAAGAAGAACAGATGATACACTTGAGAGGCCTACATATCTTGCAGCGTACCTGGCATAAATAACAGATTTAATAAAGCTAGTACTCGATTTTAATGCTAGGCAGATGGCAGATACAGCGGACTGAGACAACTCCAGTAGGTGACAGGAATGCTGAAAGCAGAGCTGAATGGAACCTTGCCTCCAAGTTCAAGGCCCTGCAGCTCTAGAGAGGACTGGGGTGGGCTGGATGGGAGCAGAGGTGCTGCTAGGCCCGGGTCCTTGGGGCCACAGTCCCAAACCTGCCTACTTGGCTCCTACATCCATTCCCCAAAGCTCCGGATGTCTATTGAAGCCAACGCAAAGCTTTTTCCTTAGCTTAATTGCTTTACAGACTGCAATTTTCAAGTTGGATTAAAGCAGCAGAGGGAAGATTTAATTCTCCCCTCTCCACAGGTTACAATCTTCTTCTGCCCCTTTTTTGATTGATTTGAAATGACCTGGGCCAAGGTGCAATTTGCTGAAAACTTTATTTTTCTCCCCTAGATTTGGATAAGAAATTAATTGGCTGGCATTAGGGGTTCTGGGCTCTGCCTCGTGTGAAGTTTCAATAAATCCTAGGAATTCTTTCTACATTTCCATGTATAGATACAAATGGCCACATGCAACATATTTTCTATGTCCCCAGGTCCTGAATCTTTTAATTGCTTAGTAAAAGCTCTGCTTGGTGGCGGTGGTGGCTTCTTACACCCCTACAAGGGCTACACAAATGTCTGTCTTATCTCACAGTCCCATCTTAAAATTGTACGGCACCATAGAACTAGAACAGGGCATTTAAAGAGGTGCACCAGCTTTCACCAACGCAGCACCCTCCAGATGGGCTGGACTACAAGTCCCATCACCGCAGCAGCATGGTGATTAGCCATGAGCCACTAGGGAATGATGGGAATCATGCTCTAATACAATCTGTCTGAGGAAGGCTGTCGCAGAAGCTAAACAGCTTTACATACCCAAACAATGGATACCCTCCTTCTTTGCTTTAATTTCTCAAAACCAAGACACTTCGCTTTGTGCTCTTTTATCGGGTGAGACCCTGCAGAAAGACAATACTTCGCGTGTTCTCCTGGAAAGGCTTTGCAAATCCAGATGGAGATCTTAATTCCTCCATTAATTAGAATTCTGCAGAGCTCACGACAGCAGCCGGCCGCTGCCCTCCTATTCTGTATTCATGATCAATTCAGAAAACCTTGTGAAATCCTACACAAGCACAGGAGATGATACTTTAAGTGTGCTTGACTTCAGCCCCCGCTGGGTATGGACAATTACCACTTGGAGCCCGAGTTGCGCCCTTTTGCCTGCTCGGGTCTTGCCTTCGACCGCATTGTCACGCCCTGTTCCTTCCTCTTGCTCCTGATTTTCTCTCGCCTTCCCAAGTTGCCTGTCCTGATGACTCTGCCAGAAAATTATGACCATTTGCGCTGGCCGTGGGAGGGGAGAGCAATCCCTTTGCTACTCATCACTGCCGCCTTCAGCCGTGTCAGTTTATCTGATCCTGCCTGCCTCCTGTCCTGAACCCTCTCCCTCAGTGCAATAAGCCACAGAGACCTCTGTGCCTTTAAGCACTGCAGACTTTGGTTAGAGTGTCCTTTTTCATTAGAGGAATGCCTTTTCTTTCCATCAAGCATCCCATTCCTCAGATCACAGCAGCAAGGACCAGGGCTCCATCACGGAGCACAGGATCCACATGCAAAAGGTCCCCGATGAAATCCCTGGCATCTTCTAGCACGGCTGGAAGAGAGTCCTGCCCAGGAAGACCCGGGAGAGACGCTACCACTCCGTGCGAATGACACTGAGATGAACCAACGCTCTGGTGTCACTGGGCTGCTTTATATGCACCGGTTAACTATCCCTGTGTGTCCACATGTACCGTCTATGTTTGAGGCTCTTCTCTAGCAGCTCTGGAACTGGATAGATGGCAGGCAGCGACAAGTGACAGAGTTTTCTGATTCGATTCTTTTTCTCCTGCCTCCAGTCTATTTAGTGACTATTCCATAGGCATGCTTGCTACAGATTTGTTTTGCATATTTAAAGAAGTGTGCCTGTTGGGTGGCTTCTTCCAATGGCATGCACTTCAGTGCTCATTGACCAAGGAGTACATATATTCCTTTTTGGACCGTACACATTCTCCCTTGTACACTTTTCAAATGTGTTCATTTTATGCAATACCGCAGAATGCATTATGAGCCTGCAAATGTACAGATTTTCAAGGGTAAAGTCTGTGTCAATTACCGGAAGAAGTAGATTGAGCAAATCTGTTGGGAAAACTGGAGAAAGTGGATCCCTCACACACCCCTAGAAATCCCTAAGAACTGGATTCACACACATGCCCCCCCCATGAGTTAGAGCCTTTGCTATGGCACATGCCCCTCTGATGAACAGTGAGTGCCATCAGTCAAACGCACTCCACTGGTCCCTGCATTTCTACCCCCTTTGCTGCTTAACTGTGGAGATTTTATAGACTTACTTCAAGTCTGCTGCTATTAAATTAAATCCATTGTAAAGGTGTCCTTCTAAGGCAACTTTCTTCAAGTAAGAGTAACTGTCCGCATCCGTCGTCAAAAAATTTGTCACGAGGGCACCTGCGAGGAGCAAGAGTGGGGAAAAGGGGGATTTAGAGTCTGCTCAAATGATTTCCTATAAGGAAAACTGGCATTTCACTCCACTGGGCTAGCCCAGCCATCTATCAGAGACGAATAAGCTTTCAGACTCTCTGCTTGTCAAGAGCAAAGCATGGATACAGATAACTTAAGGTTGATTGATAGTGGCCACTGCTCACCATTTCAAATATTGCAGGCCTGCTTCAATGAAAATGCTGTGCAATCCTCATCAAATCCTCCCTAATTCAGTTTTCCAGTAGGCAGAAATTATGCACAATTACTCGGTTGCAGACGTGTGCTTTAAGCCCATAGGGGGCCCGTGGTGGGAACCCTCCAGACCAGCAAAGCTGGGTCTCCAAAGCAGACACTGCATAATGTGTGTGTGAACACAAAAGGCCAGAAAGATACACTGCCCCTGCCCCCAATGCTTACATACGCCCATCAGACACTCTTCAAACTCTTGCTGTTTGCCCTTCCTGGTTCTTATTTCTGTTAAGACTTTTCAACTTCCTCTTGTTCGTTACAGAGCCGGCTTTGCTGCAGAGCAAGGGCTGTCCATCATCACCACCACCACCATTTACATTTGAAAGAGTGGATTTATGTTATGGTGCTCAAATGCCAGCGATTCTGCTTCGAATATTCAGTTCTTTTGTGGATTTGCTTGGTTCAGGTCACATGCATTTGCCTTCTGGAAAGTGAGTTTCTAGGACTGACCATGAGCAGCGTGGCAGCCAACCACGGCCCCCACTTTGCATGAGCTCCCAGAACCCTCTCAAAATTCAACATGGGCCCACCAAACCGAAAAAGCCTGAGCACTCCTCTGGCTTGTAGGGCCTCTCCAACGGGATCCTCTTTCTTCTAATCTGCAGCCTCCTCCTTCTAGCTAGGGGTACGAGACAGCAGCCCTGATTGTACGGAGCACGTGATCGACCACTGAGTGACAGCTCTTCCAAAGAAGTGCTTTCTGCTGGATGAGCAGACCTTTGCCATAAATCAATATGTTGGGCTGGTTTTCATTCAGTAATTTTTGTGTGTTTTATTTGTGTCTTAATGCATTTGCTTTACTGTTTTAAACCAACTTTCCCCTGCTACTTAAAATTCCAATAACAGTTAGCTGCCTGGAGAATTATTTTGTAAACTGTCCAATGAACTTTGGCCATTGGGTGTTATAGAAATGTAATACATGAAATCATTATCACTGTTTCATTATGCTCTGCTGTATGCCATTTTGGGAGAGTTTATTATCTAATAGATTTTATATACTGTGGATCACATATAGAAATATCTCTAAATTCACCCTAACGGGCAAATTATAATTAGTTTCTATAAGTAAGTATGTTTTTGGATTAATAATGCAGAAGAAGCTATTCTAGGCTTCAGAACATTGTAGGAAATGTAAGGAAAGAACCAGAACGTGCTTGCGACAGAATGAATTTCCACTACAAGGATTTACTATTGCATACTTCAAGGTACAAGCATTCGTTCCATTTCCTTATACATACCTCTTCCTTTTGCATTCTTGTCTATCTTTGGCTGCATATAATTGGTCAAGGCTGCCATCTTGCCTTTCTTGCTGATTCCAAGCCAAGTCCCACCTTCTTTTCCCTCCTCCATATCCAGTCCTGCAGTACCAATAAAACAAACAGCATCTGTAAGGATGTAAGGGTTCCGCCGGCGTGAAGCAAGGCACATCACAGATCCTCTCAGCTGCCAGCGCGCGTCAGCAGGGCAAGCACCGCGAGAGGAGCACGGAGGCAGTCTTGTGAAGCATCTGAAGGCGCCCCCGTGCTAGCAGGAACCACGGCCAGTGTGGCACAAAGCTTGCACTTCCAAAAATAACCCCAGAAATGAGCGCAAATGCTTGTTTCCAGAAGAAGGCAGATCAGCAGAGCTTGCAAGAAGGGGCTCTGTTGACCCATCCTATTCTGCAAACAAGCATTGCCACTTTTTTGGGGTGGGGGGACTTTCGGAAGCACCCACTTTCCCTTGTGCTAGCAAAGGATAGCAGAAGCTGAAAGAGCAGAGAGGCAGTGTTTATTCCAATGGCTGCCCAGAGAGCACAATGTTAATGGGGGGCTTCCAAACAAATTTAATAAATAATAAATACTGGGTTCTTTTCCTTGTATGACGAGGTGAGAAAATTGCCCTGAGATTTTTTCTTAAATGCCTGCTAAAGCATTGCTAGTTTCTTAGAAGGCAAGCAAGAAATGAACAAGCAAGCTTCTATTAAGTAGAAGTCAAAGAGGGATGCTCCACCCCATCCTTTACCCACTAGCCACTCCTCTGTACTGTTCTTGCAGCGGGAGAGACTGTCTGTCCTCCCAGGCTAGCCCTGAAACTCAGCAGATGGGCCACCAAGGGAGGGGTGTTTCTGGGTTGGCCAAGGAAGACACTGCTTTGCGTTCTGGGTGGCAGAGGAAAGGTGGAGCAAGCGATCCCTCCATCCACCAGCTTCCTTCAGAGCCAGCAGTGGAAACCAAGCAAGCTGGTGGACGAGGGATGGAGAGAGCAACTCTCCTACTGCCAAGCCCACTCATTTGCCTGCCCAGAATCCCTTGCCACCTAGGCCAACCTGGCCAGTTTAAAAACAAGGCTGCATTAAGACAGAAGATAGACAGAAGACAGACAGATGCACAACCGTTTTATTTAGTGAGCTTGCTTTCACTTTATTGTGTGGACCTCTAGTTTCATCTGGGACAAAAAGGAAAGAAAGGCCTGATTAATTCAAAGGGCGTTAGTTACACAATAAATGTAACCTAAACCACTGACACCCTTGAGAATATTTTCAATTCAAGGCACTTTCGCCTCATAAAAACTAAGCACAGAAAAGCTTAGAGAGACAGAGTAAACACATCAAAAATGGGGTTTAGCTTCTCCCCATTTTGCTACAGGCTAACATTCTGTTAAAATTCAGACTTCAGCATCAAAGTGTGCGGCTTTTTTTTCTGCCATGCATCGGTATAAAAGGGGAGAAAAAATATCCATCAAGAATTTGGAATGAAAGCTAGACTTTCAGAAAGTAAAAGGAGCTGCAGTGTTGAGAGAATGATTTATCCATACAGTTCCTCTCTGCCAATGACAACAACATCAAGCATAAGAGAAAAATCTTTGCACGGTTATTTTTTTTTTCTTTTAAAACTATGCTTTGCCTGCCTGTGCCTCATTTTTATTTATGTGCATAGTGAGACTAGCTCTTCAGTTTGGCTAGGCAGAGAAAAGATGCTTGTGTGAGGGAGAGCTAAGTGGACAAAAGGCTGAGTAACTTTTTAGAAAGTTCCCAGGAATGAGGCTAATAAGCTGAAAATACTGGAGAGCTGCTTTTGTTTATCAGTCTGTAAATTGCAAACTGATAAAAGGCAATGGAAGGACACACTTCAGAAACTCTCTTTTCTTCAGTGTGAAGTTGTTTAACTGTTGATCAATGCCTGTATGATTAAAGATGAAAGGCAAGTTCACACAAATACTTTTAAGAGTGCAGCTTTCTGGTTTTCCTGCCAAATCCGTACACTTGAAAAATGGGTTGTCACACCACATTTATGGGAGAGGAGAATCCATTTCTATTATTTTTAACTAGGGCTGAAATCACTCGATTTCAGGTGTCAAATGAAAACGCTGCTGAGTAAGGTGTAAAAACACACACGCACACAAACACACATGCACACAACCACAAACACAAGCAATAAAGAAAATCCAATAAGTTAGGAGATACTTTTATTAGAACTAACCAAAATGCACAAAAGGAGTTTGCCACTACAATGAAATCTACCACCAGAAGAAGATTTGTTATCACCTGTAGAAGGATTTTGCACTGAGGGTTACATTCTTCCAGTGACTAGATAATACTCACCACCGGGCGGCAACAACAACAATAGCAGCAACAATAATGCTTTTCTATCCCACCTTTTCCCTACTGTGAAGAACCCGGAGTAACTTACATAGCTCCATTTTATCCTTACAATAACAACCTTGCAAGGTAGGTTTATAAAGTGACTGGCTCAAAGTCACCCAAATTCATGGCTGAGTGGGGACAAGAACCTGGATCTTCCAGGTTCCCAGTCCAACACTTAACCTTGATTAATATCCAGTTTTGATTATACTATATTTCTCTGCAATTCTGCCCTATGCTGATTTTGGAACCTGTGTATTTTGCCCAAGGCCAATGGCAAATCTGAATTAGAGCCAGCATTTAGGTTTTCAGAAATGAGATCAGCCACTGGTTCTCCCACAGAGAAAGCCCTGCTAAGTGCTTTTGTCCTACCTGCAACAGTTAACAATGACTTGGTTCAAGCAACACAATTACTTCCGTTCCAATTACTCGTATGGGTTCAAGCATGGGTTGTCACTGAACCACGAGTCATGTGTTGTCTGAGCCCATGCATGCTATCAAGCTATGGTAAACAACCCATAGTTCATAACTCAGCAACAAACCATGGATTCTTTTCATGGGTTAATCATGATTAACAAGACGTGGCTAGCCCATGTTTTAACAGCAACCGACACTCAACCCATTCTCGACCTCTGAGTGTAGGTTATAGTGCTGTCTGAACCCAGACAAGGATTCATTCAGTTTGCAAGTCTCTGTTTTGAGACTGGGTCTAAAACAACAGATCTCATGGTCACAACTGGCCAGATGTTTGGACTTTACCTATTTCTTCCCTCATCCCCACTTTTTGGCCCCCTTCTTGAAGGTCACAAAGATTTGTGACGTTTTCGGACCTAATGAGGGCATTGCCCAACTATGGCATCTGAGTTTTTCCTCTCATGGCTATCTGTGCTTTGCAAGCTTTTTTTTCATGAAACAGGGCCTGCAATAGTCCCACAATAGTCTTAGAAACCCTCTTGAAAATGGCATCGCAGCTCATGGTACAGACCCATTCCAATAGATTCTTCTAGTAAATTCATACTATAAATTTACAAGAAATTGGACATGGCCCGACAGAGTCACAAGTATAATTTTAAAAGATGATACAAAAGGAGGAGGGACTGCAGGTGGTGCAGTGGTTTAAACCGCTGTGCTGCTGGGCTGGTAGATTGAAAGGTCGCCGGTTCGAATCTGGGAGGAGTGCGGGGCAACAAACAGACTGCTGCACCAGAACTACGAAAACCCAGGTTTAAACCCCTACTCAGCCATGAGGTTGCCCTTGGAAAGCCAACTCAGTAGCCCCGGGCCAGTCACTGCCTCTCAGTCTAACCTTCCTCATAAGAGTATTGTGAGATTAAAAACGGGAGCAGGAGGACAACTCATTAATACTTCACTTCTGTTCCCCCCCCCCCCCCCCCCGCCCCCCAGCTGAAGCTCTCTGGGAAGCTTGCAACAATCCATAAAACCAACAATAAAAATGCAATAAATATATCTTACCTTGAGCAACACAAGAAAACAAATGAGTAACCAGTCAAGAAATGTGCTACATACCGCTGAGGATCTCACTGCTGCTGTCCCAGAAGTCAGCTGATTTCGAGGGTCTGTGATAAAATTCATCTCGATTAGCTGCTAGGATAAGCCTGCAGAACAAGAATCGGAAAATACCGCAGACTTAGAAGGTGAAAAGTAGATTACCAACAAGAACTTATTGGATGATCTGAGGACTGCTCCATGAAATACCAACTAGAAAAAGCCACATTTCCATCTCAAGACTTAGTACATCTCTGTTCTATGACAGTTTCCTGTATATAAACAGGGGAAGCATTCCTGGCCCATGAGGTCAGGCTATATTGGAGAATTCCTTCAGACAAGGGACCTGAACATCAATGACCTCCATCTGCATTACCATCTCTACACTGCCACATACATCGAGTCCTTTGGAGTGGCAAAGGTCGACCCCAATGGCTTCTGACCTAATGCATCTGTCACTTCTTGAGCCCCAACAGCGAGTTCCAGAATTTCGAGGGTGTTTGGGGGACAGAGAGTTCAACTTCCAGGAAAGCACAATCCTCACTTTAAGTTAGCACCGCTTATATAAAAAGTGGACTTCAAAGTTTTTACTTTCTCTTTCGTTTTCTCTATTTAAATGAACAGAGGGGAGGCTGAAGAGATCTGGTTTATGTTGCAATTCAATAAGCAGCTAAAGATATAAGATGCCTAGAGACAGAAAAAAGGGTTGTCTCTCCCCAAGACATACACAGAAATGCAATTCTCTGAACTCAGGGACCAAGAAGGAAATGAGCAAAAGAGCAGTTGATATGAGCAGAAAGCCTCGGAGGATAACACAACCCATATTGGTGTGGCTCTTTGGCCTTTGAGCTCCAAGGTTCACTTGGCTATTAAAGCAAAGGAGGTTCCTTTGCGTATTTGTTTAGAGTTTAATCTCATGCGCACTGGAAGATACTGTCAGTTTCTTGGTACCACTGATGGAGGACTTCTGAAAAGTTTGGACAACCACAAACTATTCCTTTCAGTAGAAATGCAGAAACTACTAAGACTTTCCACCATAGCCTTAAAATCTTTTTGACAGGAAGCCTGCTTTAATACACTATACAGCATGCCCATGCTGAGGGCCCCAGGACAAACACACACAGAACAGCAGAATTGGAAGGGGTCAATACGGCCATAGGGTCCAACTTCCTGCTCAGTCATGGACTCCTGAAAGATGCCTGTCCAGCTGCATCTTCAAGGCTTCCAGTGTGGAAGAGCCCACAACCTCCTTGGGCCATTAGTTCCACTGACATATTGCTCTAACGGAAAATCCTTCCTTCATTCGCAATCCAACTTGAGCCCATTATTTTGTACCTTGTACTCTGAGATGCAGAAGAGATCCTGGCCCTCCTCTGTATGACCACCTTTCAAATCCTTGAAAAGTGCCTTTATGTCCCTTCAGGGAATACTGAAGTCCCTTCAGTCTTCTCAAACCTAGAAATGTCCAGTTCTTTCACTCTTCTCACAAGGCTTTGTTTCCAGTCCCTGGATCTTCCTTGATACCCTCTCCTCTAATAAGATTCATGCATAATAGACATATGTATCATCTTACACTAGTATAAGCACTTAACCAGCACCAACCATTAATGCTGTGTAAACATATTACACGCACAAAGAAATCACTTCTTGTCATTAGGAAGCTGGTCTTAACCAGCATATAATTCATTGCACCGGGAACAGAAACTGCAACGACCTGATAACAGAACTGTTTTTCAGCCCCATTTCAGAGAAAATGAACAGGTAGAAGCAGCAATTTCCAAGCAACGTCATTTCCCATCCAGAAACGGCCTGGCAATAGGGCTTTATAGCTGGTCCTGGGAGCACTACACTGCCAGCAACTTGGGTTTCCCAACCCAAATTGTAATCAGCCCCTGTTCAGAGCTGAAGTTCAGGCCTGCCAGAACTAGAAGCCTCGCTGAGGCGTTTGGTCAGCCACTGCGAGAAGCTGGATGCTGGACTAGACAGAGCAGGGATGGGGACACTCAGGTCCATGAGCCACATTCAGCCCACCAACCTTCCCGGCTAGCCATGTCCTTTCCTTCAATCTCTTATCTGGTAATTTCTTGATTTTCATGTAGTTTCCCCACCCTCTCTTTCCAAAAGGCAGAAGTACCTCTCCTAAGGCCATTCGCGCTTTAAGCTTTGATATGCTGGTATTTTTTGCAACTTCGACTGCAGCTCTTTTGCCTTTGGTCCTGTCTTCCATTGGAAAATGGCCCCTGGGAGGTTCCCCCAAAGTGAATCCAGCCCTTGGGTTGAAATAGCTTCCCTGTCACTGAGGCAGGCTTTCGGCTTGGTCTTCTTAGGATGGAGTGGGTGACCCAATGCTAGTATGTCCATACAGAGTCAGTCTGAAAGGTGGGGTGTATTGTCCACTCGCTATTATACGATCAAGTACAGAAATACTTCCATTCAATATGGAATGTGTTGTCCCACAGATGAAGGGTTCAAACTGCAACCAAAAGATACAGTTCCGAAAGCCAGGGTTTAATAAGAGCCAAGCACTGCCCTCTTCTGCATTTGAGCAATGAAGCATAGATTTAAAAGGCCTCCAGGTTTAATGTGAGAAGTTACTCAAAAAACAACAATTCGAACATTCAAGGGTGACCTCTGAAGCAGTCTGCTTTCTTAAGCCAATTAGTTATAATATATTTGCTCATTATGAAGTAATTCTGATGATCTAAAAGAGGCTATAAAAGTGGACAGTAATTCATGGGAAGAGAGGACTTTGGCTACAATGGTTACACATTTCTAATCAATGAGCTAAACCAGTTAAGTTCAGAATATCTTTAATCTCAATTACTAGCTGATTTGCCAGTACACATATATTTTGGACTAAAAGGTTGTCCTAGTTATTCTCTTGCCCCCCCCAAAAATACCTCCAGAAGGGAACCTTTTTTTTTTTTTTTTTGGTGTCTTCTTTTGTACTGCAGAAAAAGGCACTTTTGTTAGTACATTAGCAAGTTTCAAGGTCCATCACCTAAGAGAGAGGAGGCACTGTCTGGAGCTAACAACTCTAGACTGCAGATTTTCAGACACGGTCTTTAAAAATAGTAGTGGCTCAAGCAAAGTAAGGCAAGGATATCTGTTCATTAGTTTGCACATCAGGAAAACACACTCTTGGCAGGGCTAACTTCTGTGAATTGGGAAGAATGCAATTAGGAGCACAGCAAATTACTTTCTATCAAGTCAGACCATTTTTATATGCAGTTAGATTGTGTCTATAGTAGGGATGGGGAACCTTTGAGCCGGGGGGGGGGGATGCAGCCCCCAGCGGTCCCCTATTGGTACAAACTTCTTTGGCTATCATCTCAGATTGCTGATGTGCACTAAGAGGCACTGAAAAACAACGAACCTTTCATTACCTTCTAATGCATTGAGCTGTGCTTCTTACAGGCGTGAAGGGCCCTGAAGAGCCGTGGAATTTGGGATGCTCTCTTAAAGCGCTGCAGACTGATTCATGCCTGCACATCCAGGAGCAGAGCTGCGCGAATCCTGCTCTGCTTGCTTCCAACCAGGCTTCAAATGGCAATATCCCCCTGGGCTTCAGCCATGCCTTCAGATGGAATGGGGTCTGAGACGTTTCCCATTTTGCAGTTCAGCCCTTGAGCTGAAAAGCCTCTACCACTGGCCTTTAACTGATAGGGTGGGATGGTCCCACCCTCAGATCACAACCTGTCCCTAAGTGAATGCCAACAGCTGCAATATAAGCATATAACTATTTTGGAGAGGCACAAAGGCAGCCAAGACGTGGATTCCCAAATGCATGTTCGGGCTAAAGGATGGTCCCTGGTCCAAAAGCCAAAGACTACATTGGCTGGACATAAACCTACAGAATTCCAAGCATGGGTTTTTCTTCAGCCTTGCCTTTAGCAGCTTGGGGTTGAACTCAGGACCTTAAACATTCGAAACATTCTCTCTACTACCAAATTATGTCCCCTTCCTGAAGCATCGAGAATGCATGCATTTATCTGTATCGTCCTTTTAAAAAGAAATCCATCACTTCTATAGGTTTTAAGTCAAGTCTGCAAAAGTTGGCAAGCTAATGGAACAAAATCAAGTTATTTACTATCACGACACCATGGGCTAGCAGTGAGCTTGATGGATTTGAATCAGCTCACCTAATTTTTAATTCCCCTCTGTTCTGCTCCATGAACATACAGTTGGGGATGTGTGAGGAACCAGGGGTGACACCCCCTGGATGTGCAGGAGGACCCAAATTTCTCACCCTAACCATAATCTGAAGCTTAAACCAAATCCCAACTGGGGGCATTCTTGCTGATCGCTCACACCTTCAGCCTTATAGACATTATTCCCAGGTACACGGACATGCAGAGGAAGCCAGCTTTCTCTAACCCTTGCTTAACCACCACCCCAGCTCTTAAGCTGTAGCATTTCACTGAAATGTAAGCTGAGTCTCCTCCCCGACATCCATGTGTAGGTCAGACCTCAGGTTGCGAATTTCCTTTATTTGCAAATGAAATTTGCACAGATCGGCATTTAGAAGCCACAATGCACACAAATTACAATTATGAAATTTGCCCAGTTCAGAGAAAATCAGTTCTCTGGGGCGTGTGTTGTTCTACAAATGTCAGTGGCTGTTAAAATAATTGTGTGCGAACTGTGGTCCGCCTCAGAGATGGAATCCTACAACCCTTCCTCCCTGACTTGACTTGCTCTTTACCATTGGATCGGAAGTACAACGAAATTCTTCCAGTTCAAACAAGGCAGATTCCCTTGTTTCAGAACATCCCTGCATGCAGCACCTTTTAGAGATTCTAGTTGCCTCTCCTGCAGGCCCCCGCAAGGCACTGCATCTTATTTCTTAGATCATTTTTATTCATACTCTGTCCAAATACATCAACTGAAAAATGCATTACTCTGAAACAACTTCTGTGTGTCAAATCTATTTAATCCGTGGGAAGAAGAACAGGGAGACTTACAAATAAGAGCAGAAAGATAGGTTAATGCTATGATGTTGCCTTTATTTAGGAAACAAGGCTTAACATTTTGCCCAAAATTTAACCATTCCAATGAGAGCAGAAATGCATCTTGAATGCTGAAATGACCTTTGGACTTCAGCACACAG